CCGACCACGAACAATTTTTTAAGCTCGAAATGTAAACGAGCCGAACACGAACTCGAAATGGCTCGATAAAAAAATATATATATATAATTTTTTATATAACAATATATTACATATATTATTTATATAATAATATATTATATATATTTATGTCTAAATTTAAATCATAACGCCTCATGTAGCAATGTGGTTAGTGTCTTCTTTTGTATAGATTTGATCCAGGTTCGAATCCCACACATTACATCTATTTTTCTCAATTTTAGATTAACGAGCCAATTTCGAGCCGAACACGAGCCGAACACGAACACAAATATTTAAATCGAGCCGAACACAAACACACTGTTCACGAGCCGATTTCAAACACGAGCCGATTTCGAACACGAGCTATTTCGAACGAGCCGAACACGAGCCAAGCCTGAGCTCGCTCAAGCTCGGCTCGTTTACAGCCCTATCCATCAAGTAGGAATTAGAAAGACAAAATAAATCAAAAATATTAATATAGACCCTACCTAAACTCAAAGCATATTGAATGCCTCTACTTTACCTTTGAAAACTACTTATCTAACATTTTATTTTATTATTAAACATTTTTATAAAGTTAGACTATATGGTGGCAAATTCTTTGAGAATATATTTTAGTTAGACATCTCGTCTTTCTTAAATCTTTTATCCTTATTACTAATTAACTTGATATCAAGATTCTTCTTGCCCTTTGGATTACTCAAATCCTTTTCATTCCTCATCATTGTTATCTTGATGAGTTCTCTAAAATTCATCTCCATGTTACTTGGGAAGGCTCTATGCTCTGTAGATTTTAGTTGTCATGATAACTAGTCAATCCACACCTTGATGTTTGAAATAAAAAATTATTGCCCCAAAATAGAGTTCTCTTGCTTTTTGATGGTTGAAATGAAATTTTTGTCAAAGAAAGAGAAGATTGTTAGCGTGATCTAAGATAGATAACCTTTTAGCATTACATCATATGCTTTGTTTATGGTTAAAATTCCTTTAGCAAAAAGTTAAGGGTTAATAAGATCTAAAAGTTTATTGAAAGTATAAGAGATCTTACATTGCTTTTTAAATCTCTTAAGAAAATTAATGTGACTCCCCTAGCCTAAATTATACATGTTTCTGTAAGAATTTTGATCATATTCAAAAAGAGAGGTGATACTCTACATTTGATTTTTTCTTGGTTGTTGTGTCAAATTTGAACTCTTATAAATATACTTTAAATTTATTATAAACAAACATAGATGTAAGGTACCTCTAATATTGGCTCAATTAATTATGTGGAACTTAACTTCTAATGTTATGATTTAATTAAGTAGTTGCTTAAGTAGATTCTAAATCATACTTAAGGATTTGTCACTTTAAAGTATCATACTTGTTCACTCGCCCATAGAAGAAACAAGAGGTAGCATCTATGAGTCATGTTATTATTCTCCCTATTATTAGAACCTTTTTCATTCCTTTTATGAGAAGGAGAATGGTTATAACCTCATCACAAAGCCTTACATCTAGTGAATTAATCACTTCATGACCTCCCAAGGTCTAAAGGATATATAAAAAAGAGAAATGTTAACCTAAATATTAATCTAACCCTTTTTTTTTTCTTAACCTATATAGTATAGGGCCCCAATAATCTAACCCTTAAATTTTTTCTTACTGCTTGGGAACATATAATGTCCCAAGTCTTCTTCATTATAATGAAAGTTCTCTTTATTGACTAGGAAGACCAAGGACCACCTTGAAGTGAGAGGCTTTGTTAGCTTATACATCTGTAATACTAATTGTTGGGATAAAAGAAGTGTTTAGCCTTATTTGTTTTGAATCTATTTCTTGTTCTCTACCAAGTAAATGAGGAGCAAAGTCTTAAAAACATAATTCCAAACCTACATAGAGAGAAACTTCATTATAAATATTTTTCATTTATGATAGTCTATAATAGTCTATAATAGAGAGGACGGTTTACATTATCATTATACGACAACTAGTGCACTAATATCAACAAAGAAGACGGTTTACATCATCATTATACGACAACTAGTGCACTAATATCAACAAGTTAGATGAAGTCATTGGCCAATATTTAGGTCATGAAAGATAAGACCATGTGTTATCCTTCATCCATACAACTTGAGTTGAGTATGGGAATAGAATTGAAAAGCACTTATGTCAAGCTAAACTATTATAGCAATTCAACTAGAGCTAAACATTAGTTAATGAAAGAGGATTTTATCTCTTTATTCCTTACTTTATAATTATTTTGACCCTCAGGAACCTAGAGTGGAGGCATATTCCCAGCTGAGGGTAGTAAGCAATTTTTATCATTGTTATATCTAATACCCCATATAAGTTTAAGCTACCTAATAATGATAAGAGTCTTCTTCATCTATACTTGAACCGCACTTTACTTCTTATAGTGGCCCCACCTACTAGCTCAAGGAGAGGGAGTTCCATACAACTTCTTCCTTTGGAGACTCATTGCGATGACTCCAACTTTGTGCGCTTCTTCTTCCTCCCACTCTTAAAAAGGATAAAAGAAATGTCAAATTTAGGCAGACACCCATATGCATTAACTACTCTCAAGTGTTAAAAGAGGAAGCCCATCAGTTAATATGAACCAACAAAGCTAGATCTTAAAGTGATTATGAGGCATTTCAATATCAATGGAATAAATCCCAACATGCTCTATTAAAGGGATGTTTTGCATGGTAGCCATCATTTGCTGTATAACATCCATTTTTTTCATCATTTTCTCCATCTAGGTGACCAAATGATGAATGCAGACATAATGTCCTTGAATTATGTTAAGAAATATTGAGACTGACCTAACAGGTATCGTTGTTGATATTATCTTATTGCTTCTCGCTAGTTGGATAACTTGAGTTATGGGGCACATTGTCATGAGTTTCTACCATAAATACAAAAACATTCCTCTAAAGAGTACTTCCTATTGATTAAATCATTTTTAATGATATAAATACTAATAAAAGAGAATTTGAAAGTTTTTAGTGAGTATGAGGTCAACACTTATTTGGCATAGTCTTAATGGAAGACTTTGACGCAAAATGATAGATTTTACAAAGACAAGTATGAATATCTCAAGTGGATTGAGTCACCTAAATCTAAGGTATGCCATTGCACGGGCAACCAATGTTAGCACCATAGCTCACGTTCCTAGTGGTTATTATAAGGTGTTGGTTAATGAGATTGTTTATTATTAGCATAGCGGTATAATATACCGAGTAGTATGTTAAGCTACTAAACAATTATATAAAAACCTTAACAAAGTAAGATTATTTATATTAAAATCATGAATTATCAACTATCACCGAATGCTACAAATAACTGACATCGGATAACCCTTAATACTGTTTCGAGAATTTGCGAACATTGGCTCTTTGTTATTTTATAGTTTAGACATTGAACGACTCTACGCTGCCAACAAGTAAATGTAAATCATCAGCTAAGCCCGGAGAAGTCACCCACAGCACAACCCGAGTTTGAAACCGTCCGTTCTTCTTGGCAAGTGGCAAATAACCGATGGTCAAATATTATGGTCAACTCCATCCGTGCACGTAGCTATTATGTGTAGTTAAATAACCATGGTTAATCGTGGCCATCATGTACGCTAAAATCGGCGAGGAAGAGGGACGACAGAAGCTAACGGAGGCGGAGAAGAAAACAGGACGGGCAGGATAATTCTACGCCACGCCCTCAAATCCGTCTTGGTTCATCTCTTGAGGAACTTCCTCTTTTATCTTCCTGCATAATAATCGAACCCTATTTTCTGTAGCTGTCGCCCGCCCCGTTAGGATCATAATCCCTCTTCCTCTTCCTGGGGAAGCTTTATTTTTTATTTGGAATAGCCGATTACAGGCATTGCAGGCTCCGCATCGCTGGCGATATTCTGTGCTGCGCAGCTATGAGCAGAATAACTCTCAACAATCTGTAGCATGGGATTGAAATCTTCGGGCGGGATTGCAACCCTGCATCCAACCGGAGCTGCGACTGGCGATTGTGCCGGACTTGGGGATTGATACGATCAAGAAAAGGTCGTGGTATTGATATTCGATCCTATTATTTGGTGCCGATCGGATGCTGGGGATGCACTGATTGGCCGGTGCGGAGCCATGGAGGAGGACGCGGGAAGCAAGGAGGATGGATCTGCTGGCGGGCAAGCGGGAGGAGCGTATATTTCTGGTTCTTCTTCTGCTTGGACGCCGTTCATAGGTGCTTTCAGCTCTTATGATGTCTCCGGTATTAACTCCTCGTCTTCTCTCAAGTCAGACAGTATTGGGGCTATCGTCAGGAGGCCTGTAAGTTGTTACTCATATCTGCAGCTTTAACTTTTTCCCATGTGCTTTGCCTGTTATTGCTGTTATTTCAATGGAAAAGAGAAAAAAGGAGAGGTTTTGCTGATTGCTGATTGCTGCATAATAATTTTTGTTCTTGACTTGACAAATTTCCATGGCACATATTGCAGCTTGAGATTCATGCGATGTTGACTAAAAATTGGATCCTAGTCCGCATGCGGGAAAGTGCTACAATTGCTTTCCTCTCTTTAATGACTGCCGTGAGCCCTCACTATAGGATGAAACATTGCCATTGAAATTAGGAAAATAATAAAACCATCAGGGTAGTGCCGGATAGAAATATTATAGAGAATTGTGTTTCAGAGGAAGGGAGAAAGAAAATGGATAGAATTATAAAACCAATGATAATTTATGCTTTAGGAAAGTATAACATTAGATTTTTTTTTAACATATCATGTGTGTATCAGTAGTTTGAATCTCTTGAGGAGTCTTTTTTGTTAATAAGAAGAAGAAAGTTGCAAGCCCAACATTTCAGATATAGACAGGCCTTTTATGAAGCATTCAATTCCTTGCCTAGCTTAGAGAAATGACGTAGAAAGAGAAAGATTTTTTTTTTAAATTCAGAAGATTTATCTTATGACTGCAAGTATTACTATTATCTTACTCCAGAACTGACATGATATTACATTAACATATTAATTATGTTATAGAGTGTGGAACAAAAGAAGACCAAAGCGAAGCTTTACACACTAGCGGTCAAAATAATTTTACATCCAAAAGCTAAAACTTATGGGTGAGGGTCACATCAACCATTGTTTCTACACTAACATAATTGTCTAATGTAAGACTAAAGCCGAAACTCTCACGTGACTTAACAAAACTTTTCCTCACATGAGATCACTCCATATTGTCTTACATGGAAGCTTCTAAATGGATTGAGTGTCATGTATTAAGAGCCATTCAACTAGGTCGAGAGTTGTCATGGGAATTACCAATAGTTGAACTTTGCTTAATTATGATTTAGGGCAATTTGACTCTTAAAAGTTGCAAACTACATGAGCTATTTATTCCTAGTCGAATTATAATCTCTTTAAGATGGCCCCAAAAAGGGCAAAATTCGATTAGATACATTACTCTATTAACCCATTTTCAATTCAGAAGATTTATCTTTGGGCAAAGATTAATTATTAATATCTCTATGCAAGCAAAATTTTCAACCATTCATAATTTGAAACCTTTTTGCTTCTTAATAAGTTATGTATTGACTAATTCAAACTTGAGTTCCAAAGTAATAGATTGGATTATATGGTGAAGGTAGTATAAATAACTAAGATTTTTTTTTTAATTTGTGATTTTGCAAGCACCTCAACTAATATTTAACGAAAGATTCATAGAACACGCCCAAAATAGTTGTGATAAGTTTGATGATGGTTAAGCTAGCATATTAGATGATGAAATACTCAAAGCTTGAGTAAGCTTTTAAATGCAGAAAAAAAAACCTTTGTAATGAATCGCCAGTTCTTTTTATCGCCCTAGATTAATTTTTTTGCATAACTTAATATATGTAAATGGTCATAATTTATGAAAATTATTCAGAAATTTTACATCTTTTAGAATTTGTTTTATTGTATCTATTTTCAATGACTATGGGTTACGATTGAGTCAAAATAGTTATCATCTCCATCATTAGCGTTATCCCTAGTATTTGCGATAAACTTAATTAATTCATTTGCTCCTATTGAGTGCTTCATGAGACACTAAACTTATTCTTTGCAATGTTTTTTAAACAATTCTCATCCAAATTACCAAAGGACAAATTAAATTTCTCCTAATTCTTCAATAATAATTTTATTTACCAATGCCATTGATTACTTTTGCCACTCATTGTACATATCTAAATTGTGTAGCTCCATCTTTTCACTACCTCAACTTACTAATTGTTATTCCAATTGTTCTTCTAAAACAATCAATCTTTAGTTTATTCATCTTAGTTTTAGCTACACATCCATCTGTTTTTTGTTTATCACTCAACTTAATGATTGATGATTTTTTTTCTTACTTACTAACTCTTGAATCCATACAACATAAATACTGTAATCGCAAGTTTATATAGTTTTTATTTAAATTGCTATAAATTTTTCTTAACACATAATATTGCTGAAGCATTTTTCAAATTTAACCGTCTAGCTTAAACTCTAAAAATTATATTCTCATTTATTCCTCTATTTTATATATGATAGATTCAATTTTTCTAAACCTTTTACACAGACACACATACACACACACACCACTGTTTTATTTTCTACTAAAATTGAGTGATAAATTTTAATGTCACGACCGCTAAAACTATTTCTTAGATTTATTTTTACTCTTTATTCTAAAGAAGTATAAGTTTTTAGACTTTTCATTATGGAACATACAATGTACCTCATTTTGATTATCTTTATGAGCATCTTCATAATCAATACAAGGCTCAATGATATTTTTTATGCAATCCTTACTAAAGCTCATTTTTTACTTCACAATTACTTCTAGCTCTAGTTAATGCTCTATCATATATATTTTTAATATCTATAACGAAATTGCGACACATTTTTTATTAGTGCACATCATATTAATTTTAATGATATTCAATTCTATGCATTCTCATGATCAATGAACACCATATGATTGAGTCAAAATCACTCTACATATATATAAATTATGTTAATTGTGTCATATACATAATTTACTATTATTCTTTTATGCAAGTCCATAAGAGTGATTAATTTCACATATTTTTGAAGTTAAAGGGTGGTGTAAATTAATGGCATTTAAGAAGCATAATATTTATTTCAAATGTCATGTTATTTTGGGAACTTTTTTCAATTGAAAATAAGAACAAAGAAACTACGTATATAAACAAACAATATTCTGTAACATTTCAATTTTGGTATGTTATTAGTATTTAATTGAAATTGGTAGTTATTATATGTTTGAATTGAGCCTCAATGGAAAATGACTTTATATTGTTATAATATCAATATCAAGCATCTCTGTGCATGCACATGTATTCTCTGCCAGACGCTTTATCCTCTATTAGATTTATTGGAATTTGTTTAAAGCTGGTAATAGTAGTGTGAGATTTATTGTAAACCATGCCTTTTTTTAATGCTACTCTTTCAACAGCCGCAACATTTATTTGACATTTTTCTTCACAAAAACCTATTCTGAGAAGTTCTAAAGGATTTTATGCTCTTTCTACTTTCATTATGTTGGAACTTTATCTCTTTTTGAAAAGAGATTTCACCCGAAAGGTTTTTAAGAGGACAAAGCGTTATGGGCACTTCTAATACTCCATTACCACATAAATTATAGAATCCAAAGCTTGCAATATCCATAAATTCTTTGATGTGGTGACTAATAAAAATTTTGAAGAAAATCATATTACACTCATTACCAAAATATTTTTTAAAATATCTAAATTGAAGCTTTTTTTCTCTAAAATATAAGGAAGGTAGTGAGCTTGGGATAGGAAGAGAGAATGGGTTAAGAGGAATAGAGATAGTGAGAAAAAGGAGAGAAGAGAGAGTATTAGAGTGCCCTGGAAGGCATTATTAACTGTTTTCCTTATCAATGAAATGACCATGAATCCGAAAGCTATCTTTCTCATGATGTTGATACCTTGCTTATCATTCACATAAGCTATGAGTTCATCCACTTTGATCATTATTAGCGATCTTCCAAAACATGTTATTTATGGATATTGCAAGCTTTGGATTCTAATAAAATTTCCTCCTGTCATATTGGCTAACTTGTTAAAGCGAGGCATGTGACTAACATTTACTTTTTTAATTAACCCTTTGATGATAAAAGTTTCATTGTTTGACGTTTTTATTGTTTACTATTTTGTAGGCCATTTGCTTGTTTCAGTTTACTAATATTCACTTTTGAATTTCATTGCTGTCCATATTGTTTAGCAAGTAACGCTTAGGTTGTGTGGTCAAGTTTGTATTACAATAATAATCCCTATGTTATAATTTTGAATGCATTTTGATGTCCTTAGTCATTTGAATATATTTCTTTGCAAGGCCTAATCAAAGATTTTGTCTCTGCAGCTGGTGGCAAGACTAACCAAAGAGATAGTGGAAACTTTCCAAATATGTAACCCAGATTTTAGATTTTCAGAAATATTGAACCCCAAGCGCTTCCTTACCAATCCATCAACGGGGGTATTGAATGATGGTTTTGATAACGAGGACAATGATCTAATTTTGTACGTGAACTCTATTTTGATCAATACTGGGTCAAAACAAAGGTTTGTATCATTTGAATACTGAAATAGTATAATTTTATACTAGTTAATGATTAATCTATCCAATATGCCTCATAGTAAACTTATTCTTTCCAATGTAATTTTATACTAGTCCTCTTTTTCCAGGATGTTTCCATTTTCAAAAAATTCAACTGATTTTTAGTTTAAATAGAGTATAAAACATATAGCACATGTAGTGCAAAATATGAATAATTGAAATACTGAAGTTGGAAACCATTAGTGATTAATTAATTATGTATGATTCTTGGCAGAATATATTCTCTTGTAGAAGGAAACAAAGTGTTATAGCACATATTTTATACGTAAAAAAGGCACACCCAGTGTACAAAGGCTTTTTGCCTATGCTTGGTATGGGTGAGATTGTTGTACACAATCTTGTATTACTAAGAAATTATATTTGTGATTTGCACTATGACTGGAGGCCACCTAATCAATTGCTTTATAAATGCCTTGTTTTATTGCAAATAATAATAATAAAATGTTGCTAGCTTTATAATGCCTTGTTTTATGAAAATCCTGCTCTGTTGCAGACCGGGAAACCGTTGCTTTTCTGTGTTTATCAAGGGATCAATGACTATAATCAGTAATAAGTGTAAACATGATTGATTTGGGATAAGTGAGTTTATTGAACGAGACAAAACATTCTTTTTTCAATTCCATAGGTGGTATGCCTCATCATCAATAGACAGAATATACTCTCCCAAATGCTTCTAACTTTTGCTCTTAGATTTTCTATTGGTCAAGTATTTAAATGTATGAGAAGTTCTTTTATGGGATAATAAACAATTTTTTGGTAAGCAATCTATGGTTTAATTTTTTCATAGTTTCCCTTTTGAAAAAAATATAGTAGCATCCAGAGAGAGTTTTTAATGAAAATGGGATTCCACAATGGATAAACATTTACTTGTGTTTATACGGGTCTCAGTGTACTTGTTGATCATATTTGTGCTTGGTTGCATGCATCTTTCATGTTGCCTGACTAGAAATTTTTGCTCACAGGCATTTTAAACCTCAACCTATGATGTTTATCACAAAGGTAAAAGCGAGGACAAAGTAATCAAAAGAGTAGAACTGATTAAAACATCTGGAATTGTAGATATTATACTAAGCTTTTCAGTTTCATAATGGTTAGTCTTAATACTGTCGTTTTCTGTTGGGCATAACCTGTGTTATATATATATATATATATATATATATATATATATATATAGAGAGAGAGATAGAGAGATAGAAAACCATGTTTTCCTATATATTTTTTATTGCTAATAATTGTTTTTCAATCAACATGCCTTACATTGTAGCTGTACTTAATCGCTTTTAATAAATTACAAAATATAATTATATCAATTCTCCATGGCATAAGCTTTCTGTTCCCTAATTTTATGCCTGCTCTAATTAGATTTTTACTAAATAAGATTCATAGAGTTGCTATAAATTGATTGTTTGAATCTTGATGGAGAATTCTCTTTTCTTTCATATGAAAATTTAATTTTTGAGAACTCTAGATTACAATAGTGGATTAATTATGCCTGACAAGCTTTTCACTGGCATGTGATGGATAATCTTCAAAAGAATAATGATGCAGGTACATTGTCAAAGATCTTCTTGGTCAGGGTACATTTGGACAAGTTGCGAGGTGTTGGGTTTCTGAAACTGATAATTATGTTGCTGTTAAGATTATTAAAAATCAGCCTGCTTATTATCGGCAGGCGCTTGTTGAGGTTTCCATTTTGTCGAGGGTGAGGAAAAATGGGGCAGAGTAATGAAATTGTACAGTTTGTCTGTAAAAGACTACCCTTTTGACTTTGGACCTCCTTTATCTATTTTGCAGCTGAATGAGAAATTTAATGCTGACGAGCGTCGTCACATTGTTCGCATCCTTGATTATTTTGTTTATCAACATCATCTGTGCATATCTTTTGAGTTGCTTGGTGCAAACCTGTGAGTCTGTTATCCTTGAATGTCAATTCTTTCATTCATTTTTTTCATGAAGCGCTTATTTCATCTTTCAACTGCCTTACAGGTATGAATTAATAAAAATAAACCAATTTAGAGGATTTCCACTGAACATTGTCCGTCGGTTTTCAATGCAGGTAATGTTTCATTTGATTTTTTTCACATTTTATGATTTTTATGTTTTTAATGTTCTTGTATCTGATTTGATCTTCCCTATGTTCTCCATTCTATTATTTCAATAGATACTGCATGCATTGGTGGTGATAAAGGATGCTGGCATTATACATTGTGATCTGAAGCCAGAAAATATACTTATAACCTCAAGGTTGGCTTTTTTATACTAATATGCTTGAAGATCTTATGATTTTTCTTATTAGTTCAACCTTAAGTTTAGGACATTCATCTTGGCAGTGCTGGGCCAGATATAAAAGTAATTGATTTTGGGTCTGCTTGCTTTGAAGGCCGAACTGTTTACTCATATATTCAGGTTCTCATTTTTATTTCATTGAAAATAGCTGTTACTTTTCAGGGTATTTGTATTCTGTGCTTTGTGTTTAAATCACTTTGCTCACAAGTTTAATACATTTGTTGCAGAGCCGTTACTACAGATCCCCTGAAGTTCTTCTTGGCTATCCGTATCCTCTTTTGATGTTGCATCTGCTGAATGATATTAAAAGATTTACTCTTTCATTTTTTGTGTTAACTTTGGGTCAAAGTTCAGGACGTGTACTTAATCTTTGTCACACTTCTGGCTCAGTCAATATTTATATAATTGTGCATGCTCATCTTGTCTTATTGGCAATGATGATTTACTTTCCTTTTTTTTTGTTCGTTATTGTTTAGTTGCATGGTCATTGGAATCATGCTCCAATGCTTATTTGGCTCCTACTTTTGTGCTTAACCTTTCCACAGATATACAGCTGCAATTGATATGTGGTCATTTGGATGTATTGTGGCTGAATTATTCTTGGGGTTGCCTTTATTTGCTGGAGCATCGGAGTTTGATCTCCTTCAGCGGATGATAGAGATTCTTGGGTATGCCAATCTATTTTAATTTGTTCCTTATTTATGCAGATTTCCAAGCACAGCATCATTTTATTATTTCTATATATATTTTTTTGCATTATCTAAATTTATGAGATATCTTTTTTGGTGTACTTGGGGAAATTGAAGAATGGTGATGATTCAAGTTATTTGGTGTGAATTAGTTCATACTTGTTTTCAATTCATGCTAGAAACTTTAAAAAATATGAGTGCATTTTCACATCATCTTATGCATATAAAGGAGCAAGAATCATAAAGATCACAATTAAATGCGTCAGGTTTAAGATAAATGAAGTAGTGTTTATATTTTTAACTAATACTTTTATTGGAAAATGAGATTTAGAAGATTTGGTATATCAATGAGATATTTACATTGACATGCTTCTTAAATTATTTATTTATCATGAAAAAAAACTTCTTGTGCTGACTTGGGTAAGCTCATAAAATTTGGAGTACCTATAAAAATTCCTCCAATTTTATCTTTACTAAAAGTTATTTTCCTTTTTAAAATACATGAATCAACCTATTTTACGTTCACTAGTTTTTGTTCTTAATAATATATATCTTAAATATACATTGAAAAAGCTTTAATTTTTTTTTAATTCCCTCAAAATCATAAATTAATAAAATTCTCAATTTCTCTCTTCTCTTTAATCAAATATCAATCCCTTGAAAAATCTATTAATTAATTTTTTTTCAAAATCATCCTTATGTTGGAGAACCTGATCTAGGGTTTGAAACAAAATTATTGTGGTTAAAGGGGAAGAAGAAACTTTGTTAGGGTATAGGCTTACCTTAGTATAAAGAATAAAAGCCAAAAATAAACCCCCGACTAGTAAAAAGTGTCCAATTTAGTCCTAGAGTTTTAGAATGCTCTGATTTCGTCCTGGACTTTTAAAAGTTGCTCCAAATTGGTTTTAAAACATATTTTCCAAATGGTGGTGTGTATGAATTAAATGGCATTTTGACTTTTATGTAATTATTCAAAATTTATGTATTGTGTATACAAATCTCTTTTTATTTATTGTTGAAAAATTATAATTTTTAATTTGTATTAATAAAGCTCTTTACAGCAGTCATCAATTTTTTTGAAATGAAATTTTTTAAAATAATCAATAATTATGTAATTAGAGCTCACTAAATTTGAAATTATATGAATTACTTGATTTCAATAGATTTTTTTATTAATATTGTTTATTAGAAAATGTGGTTTAAAATAGTTAAAGTTATCTTAAAAAACTAATTAATGAATTTATTTTATGTCTTAAATATTATGTATTTGAATAATAAAATTATGTGATTGATGGCAAATCACAAATGATCTTACAAATATTTTTCATAATCTATATATATATATATATATATATATATATATATATATACATGCATTCACGCACACAAAAGGCTGTGTATTCAAACGATGATCCAACAAAAAAATTGTTTTAATAAAAGTGATGACTGTTGCGAAGAGATTTATTGTGTAAATTAAAAGTTATATTTTTCCAACAACAAATAAAAAGTATATTTATATACGACCATATGAATTTTGAATAATTACATAAAAGACAAAATTATCCTTCAATTCATACATTTAGTTGTTAAATTTAACGTAAAATATGATTTAGGGCCAATTTAGAGCAAGTTTTAATAGTCTGAGACTAAATTAGAGCATTCTAAAACTTTAGGATTAAATTGAATACTTCTTAATAGTCGGTGGGACTATTTTTGTCTTTACTCTTAAGTATAAATGACATGAACTTAAAAAATTTTTTCTCCTTGAATCAACACAAAGCTACAATGCTACAGGGTCCTCATACTTGGTGCATTCAAGACCTCACTAATGCTCGACCATTCATGTGTGGCTATACTTCTTAGCTTGTACAATTGATTGCATATTGTCACGGACAAATAGTCCCACATCAGCTAGGTGTAGGGCCGAAAAGCAGTATTTAAGTCCTGGGCTGCCCCCCCCCCATAAGGGCTCTTTTGGGGGGTGACAAGTGGTATCAGAGCAGATTACTGCCTGTCAGGTGTGTGGACTCTCCATGGTCCAGTGGGCCCCTCGGTAGAGCCGATCCGTGACGAGGGCGTCACGTGATTGGGTGGAGGAGAATGTCACGGACAAATAGTCCCACATCAGCTAGGTGTAGGGCCGAAAAGCAGTATTTAAGTCCTGGGCTGCCCACCACCCATAAGGGCTCTTTTGGGAGGTGACAATATGCTCACATACCTTGCTTCTACTTCGCTCGCTTTCCTCACCCTGTTCAATCTCACGCTGTTTTTGCCTCCTGCGTATCTCTACTTTGTCCATTTTGTTTCTTCTTACGAGGTTGATGCAACCAACTTTATTAACTAATTATAATTTTGACTTTTAATGGCATGCTCCTTTAACTGGGCTCACATCCAACTTTCTTTACTCCGTTAAGTTGATTTGCTAGCCAACCGATTTAGTGTTTTAGGTATCTTTAGGTATTATTATCACTATTAGTTATTGTTATTATTATTATATTCTGACAATATTATGTCGTAAATGATAATTCTTTTTTCAATGAAAGTTTCCTTGATCTTATAATTATACTCAAAATAATTAGATTGTTTATCATTATATATTTATCATTTTCTTATAGATTAATTTTTCATTTAAGAAAATTAATCTAATGAGTTTGGAGAATACCTTAATTACCTACTATTGCTTTTTAAGTTAAACAGGACTCTCAATTACCCATCCTCATTTTTTTATTAATAATGAATTTAATTATTATGATTAACCAATTTATCAATTTTAATCAACCTATTCCACCTAATTATTCAAAACCAATCAGTCTATAGTTGATGACCTTAGGATATTTCACAAATGGCCTCTAGCTTAATCACATCAATAAGCTTTTTAAGCGAACTGAAGGGTCAAGGCAAGAATGAGAATGGTGAGTTACCATGAGGCACAATTATAATCAAATAAGAGCACATTTTACTCACTAAATATCTTGAACTTTCTTTTATCTAATTTTCCTAAATCTGTGACTTTAACCATATCTTTAATGCTAATGGCTAGTTTCACACCTAACTTTCTTTGCAGTGAACAACCCTCTGATGATCTGCTAAGAGATGCACAAAACACAAATAAGTTTTTTAAACACGTTGGAAGTATTTATAGCTTGGAGGATGATGTCTTTAAGGGTGTTGTATGTGCTTATAGAACGTTAACTGCAGAAGAATATGAAGCTGTAAGTCCTGGTATCATTCTTGTTTCTGAAGCAGAATGCTGGTGCCAGCTTAGACTGATGATTAATGTTTATGACATTTATCTTTTTTAGATTTTTTTTTTCTCATTGCTACATTTTTTCAGAGGGAATGCAAAAAACCAGTAATTGGGAAGCGGTATTTCAATTTTGTAAAGCTTGAAGACATAATTGAAAAATATCCCTATCGGAAGAATTTACTTGAAGAAGAGGTTACTAAAGGTCAGCTACTTCTCAAATTATGATTTCTGTTTTAGCTGATTTATTATTTATCTCTGATTATGAACATGCAGAAACCTTAGAACGCTTGAAACTTGTTGATTTCTTGAGAGGTCTCGTTGAATTAGATCCAGCAAAAAGATGGTCACCTTTGCAGGTTGCCATACTCAACCCATTGTAGCCATTTAATAAGACTCTAAAATGGATTATTTGGTAGAACCCAAATTTCATGAGTTTCTTTATATTTTGAATTATGTCTCAGGCTTCAAGACATCCATTTATCACTGGTGAAGCCCTTACATGCCCATACATACCTTCACCAGAAACCCAACAAATTGTAAGCAGATATGTTATCTTGATTTATTTTCTTGTGATATTATTGGCTCGGAAGTAATATCTGATCATGAAAGTGAGGAATGCCAAGATTTTTAATTAATTTATTTATTTATTCGCTGGCGGAAAAATTCTTTTCTTGAATCCATAAAGAATTATCGTCTCCTTTCTTTGTATGAAAATATGTGGCCATGATGCACGCGTGCTACATTGGTTTGGAACCTGACATGATAAGATACTAGGTTCGACTTTTATTGAACTTAGACACATGTTTACGGGTAAAGAGAACAGATTAAAATATTTCTGGAGGTAATTTAAAGGGATGAGTTTTGGAGGAGATGAAGAGTGAGAGAGCTGTAGAACATGAGGGGCATAATTTAACTACAGCCTCTGATCTCGGGAACTCAGGCGAAGCCGCAACTTGCATTAAGCCTTTCCAGTGATTCGTTATAAAAATTTTGTGAACCATGGCATGCCATTTCCCTGGCAATAGATCTTTAAGTGAGCATTTTTTTAATAATGGGTAACGCACTAAAACTTTAATTTTCTTTGTATATATTTATTTACCTTTTTGTCTTGCATATGGTGGATAATCTAGTTTAAATGGTACTATGCTATATAAGTGGTCTTCCAATCCTTGTTTTGTTGGTTCCTTTTTATGTTTTGTTAGTTCCTTTTTTTTGTCGAACCTGCGGCCACGCTTAACATGAATTATTAACAAATTATTATAATAAGCTACAGTGCTGCAGTAACCAAACGCCTCTGCCGGCTTTTTCAAAACGCTCCACGCCAAATAAGCTGCCCCAAACAAGGCCTTAGTGTGAAAATTTGTTTATCTTTAGGGCTTGAAGCATTGGAGGATATTAATTCAAAGTGTTTAGGAGTGTTTTGGAGAATTTCATGTAAATAAATAAGAACTGGTTGGTTTGTATGTAATGTAAAAGAGCAAAATTTAGGTGTTGGATATGTAAATAAATAAGACTTGGGTAGTTTGTATGTAAATGTGCCAAAATTTTATCAGGTGCTCTAGGTGGCATAAACAATATTTTTAGAGAAAAAATCTATTTTTAAAAGAAGAATGTTGACAATTTTAATGTTTAAAATAGTTTTACGTGAAATCAATATAGCATTTAGTTAAATCAATTATTATTGAATTTCATTATTGATAGATTTGTATCATGCAATTTTTTGAGTTCCTGTATTAATGTTTAGAAAAACTTTTATGGAAGACGAAGTGCTTATTCTACAACAAATATAAAATGTGTACTATTTTTATCTTTCTTTTGAGTTTTAATTCAATTAATTGATGTTGATCAACCACCACAAATTAATATAAATGGATTTTAAAAATAAAAATTAAACTGTCAATGTTGGTTTATGCTTGACTAATTAAGGGTGAGAAAATTTCTGAAAAAAATTACTTTGTGCCTTCTCTTTAAGAAATTTTTTATTCCATAACTGTTTCTGTGAGGTTCCTTTTTCTTTAGCACGAACACAGTTCATATGACCTTTGATGGAATATGCTTTTATCATATATATATATAGAGAGAGAGAGAGAGGACTATGTTGAAAAAACTAAAGACAGTAAAGAAGATGGAAAAAAAATGAATGATTAAATAAAGTTGTATGGAAAGTAAGCCTCATGCTTGAATAAAGAGTCTATTCTACCATAAGGCTTTTAGGTCTCATTATTAGTCAAGGATCAAAATCCCATAATAGATAAAGTACAAGAATCTCCATATCCACTATGAAATTTATCAACGGCACAAACCATTTTACACAATTTAAATTCCTTGATTTATAAAAGAAGGAAATAACATACTACTAACAAATCACTGATAACTACCAATTGATGACTAATAAATTAATGATATAATTTAAATAATCCATAATAAGATAAAGGAATGATGATAAGGTTAATGTGGCAATCCCATTACTCTAATACCCATAGTAAAATAAAAATCATAATTTTAGCAATTCATCTACTTTCTTGAAATTATTGCTCTATATGCACACTTGGTGAAAGGGAAGAAGAAATTATAAGTACACAATTTGGAGTTGTTTACATTTATAACTTGGACCTTGCGAACACTCAATTGCATCATTTGATAATAGAGCCACCTAAACCCTGGTTTGTTTTTTTTTCAAGATACAAAGTCTAACTCACATGACCTAATTCATCTGCCTACACAAATAACCGACCACCACCTGAGACTCTATCTCGACCCACTTTTGCCAGAGCTTAAAATTCCTCCACTTTAACTTTTGTTAAAACCCTTGGTAGTTTTTAAGAATATTCAAAGTGGTGTTCAAGATTTTACCATAGGAGATAAATAGAGAGCAATTTTTCATTACGATGAAGGCTATTGATTTTAAATGAGACAGTATGGGGAGATTTTGCATAGTCATAATGGTGATCACTCAGTCGATGAAGAAGAGAACCCTTTTCACTAATAAGGCTCAAGTGACAAAGAGGCGATGTCATGTCGATTCAACATTGAATATACGAGAATAGTGGGTGTCTTTGGAGTGAAGATTGATTTGCAAATTTTGATGATTAAATAAATTGAATTGAATTTATTGAATGGCTTCAAAGTGTCAAATAAAATTTTAATTGTAAGTAGTTTCACCTGACAGAAATGTGAAGTTCACTCTTATTTTGTTAAAGAATTTTGATTTCCTGTGATGAGAGAATTTGAAGCCTTTATTAAAGTAAAGATTAAAGCAAATTTATAATCTAGTTTAAGATGAAGAATAAGATGCAATGCAAATATCTTTAATCACACTACTTACATGATATCTTCTTAAGACTTATTGTTGAGTTTGAACAACTCATATTGAATTAGTGTTGGTATAGACACCACGTTGTGGTATATTGGAGGATTAAGACATTCTATTGGTAATTTAGTGCAATTACATCCTTACTAGATCTTATACGATGTACAAACCTTACCTCTAAATGTGGATAAGTATAGCAACATCAAATTTACTCCACCCTTTAACTAGAATTCAATTATCTGGTCGAACAACAAAGTACCTTGAACAGAATGCCAAAATCTGTTCCATTTGAAAAGTCAATTCAGGAAGAAGCAAAGAGTCATCAGGCTGGTGCCCCTAAGACCTTCCTAGCTATAAAGTGTTTCAAGTGTCATGAATATGGATATATTGCATCCAATTATTCAAATATAAGATTGATTTCTTTTACTAAGCAAAGTGCAGTGGAGGAAGCATATATTGAAGACTATGGAGATTTGAAGAATGGGGATGACTACGGCCTTCCCATAGATGGATGTGAGATGCTTGTAATTCATTGATTTCTCCAAATCAAGCCTAAGAGAGAATAACAATGACTTAGACATAATATCTTCCATTCTCCTTGTACAATGAAGGAGAATGTGTGCAAGTTCATTATAGATAGAGCCATTAATAACAACATTGTGTCTACCTAGATGTTGGATAAATTGAGCCTTACTACCCAAAATTATTCACAACTTTATTCTCTAACTTAGTTGAAAAAAAAAGCAAGAGATCATTGTTGATAAAAGGCATATAGTAGAGTTTCTCATTAGCGACAAGCTATGGACTAAGGCTCAATTTTGTTGGGTTGACCATGACAGTATGACATGGGCACGATTCATGATGATCTACTTTTTCATTAAAGATGGGAAACACGACGTACTTTTGTCATTGAAGAAATCAATTTTGATAAATATTTAGATAAATATTAGAATTATAGTGCCATGCACCATAGATTATTAAAGTGGCATCAATGGGGTTGCATTGATTGATTTAGAGGGAAGTAAGGCGGAGGAGCTGATAGTTGAGACAATCTAGTATTTGCTGGAATTCTAGGATATTTTGATCAACAGGCTATCTTTTGGATTACAACCCATATGGGAGATTTAACATGTTATAGATCTCATCTCAAGATCAGTACTCCCCAACTGACAAACCTTTTGGATATAAATTAACATAGTATGAGGAACTACAGAGCATGTTGAGGCTCTGATGGTTCAGAGAATAGTTTGTGAGAGTACTTATTTATGTGTTGTACCAACTTTGATTATTCCTAAGAATGATGGATTGTGGTGTATGCCATTGATATTAAGGCAGCGGGCAAGATCACAATTAAGTATTGGTTACCATTTCCAAGATTGGATGACTTATTGTATTAGCAACATAAAGTTAGCATCTTCTCCAAAATAAATTTATGCAATGGCTACTATCAAATTCAAATGAGACCTAGAGACGAGTGTAAGATTGTCTTCAAGATGTGGAATGCGTTATATGGTGGACTGTTAGGACTTTTAACCTGTCTAATATGTCGAGCACTTTCATGAGACCGATGAACTAAATTTTTTGAACTTGATTTAGAAATAGGTTGTGGATCCTCTGTGGAGTTCGTTTTAAGGCTACCAGATGTTTTCTTATTATTTTCAGTCAAGGCCACCATTGTCAATGATATTCTCCTATTGTTTTCAGTTGGGGCAGCAGTCTTTGATGCGTGCACTCCACTTTCCTAGTGTTGTCCTCGCGTTCTTAGTGTTTTAACCCACAAGACAACAATTATCTCTAGTTGTTTTCCCAAAATCTATCCTATCTCAGATTTCTGATCCTTAAACGTCTACTAGGAAATCTAGAGCAGTGTCATTTGGTATTAGAGTTTGGTAAACACTAAATTTTTAGTGATTTGTCTTCCTCGCTCCTAGACTAAAAATTTATATAATCTACCTCATTCACCAACTCAATGCCTTTATCATCCATACCCCAATTTCTAACCCTCACCTAAACTCTTAAAATCTAATCTTTCCACCTCCAATAATGTCTCTATACCTACCTCCTAAACATAAGCACTCGACAAGCTTTCGATCCACAATCCTATCCTAGTGAAAACCTAAAGTGAGGAGCAAGTCACTATGCTGCTGAGGAAAAAATCTCAATGAAGTGTTTAGGAACTTACCATGAAAGATATGCAATGAGAAATTATTCAACTTCAACAAAAGA